CCGCGCACGGCTCAGAGCTGGCCCGCGACGGGCCTGCCTTCGAGGCGGCGCTGGAGAAGTACGTGACGCGTGCGGTGCTGTCCGGTCGCCCGCGTGAGGAGTGGCGCGCGGACGTGGGCGCGCGCTACCGCGCGCTGGCGGCCTCCTCGCGCGACGAGGCGCAGGCCGGCTTCCTGCGCATCATCCGCAGCCTGCCCTACGGCAACGCCGCCTTCTTCGCCGTGCGCAAGATCGACGACCCCATCGGCCTTCTCCCCGCCAAGCTCATCCTGGGCATCAACAAGCGCGGCGTGCACTTCTTCCGCCCCGTGCCCAAGGAGTACCTGCACTCCGCCGAGCTGCGCGACATCATGCAGTTCGGCTCCAACGCCAGCGCGGTGTTCTTCAAGATGCGCGTGGCGGGCGTGCTGCACGTCTTCCAGTTCGAGACGCGGGCCGGGGACGAGGTGTGCATGGCCCTGCAGACCCACATCAACGACATCATGATGCGGCGCTACAGCCGCGCGCGCGCAGCGCAGGACGGCGGCGACGACGCGCCGGGCGCCGGCGCCGGCGGCGCGGGAGGCCCTGGGCCCAAGTACCAGGCACACGTGGCGGAGCTGCAGCGGCGCCTGGACGAGGCGGCGGCAGCGCTGGCGGAGCGCGAGGCCGAGCTGGACGGCCTGCGTGCAGAGCGCGCCAACCTGCGCGACGAGGTGGCCGTGCTGCGCGGCCTGGACCCCGCCGACGTGCGGTACGACGACGACGGGGAGGAGGGCACGGCCGGCGCACGGCCGGCCGCCGTCCGGGCGCCGCTGGACCTGTCGGCTCTGTCGCTGGGCGCCGCCGCGGGGGGCGAGGCGGCGGCCGAGGCGCTGCGCGCGGTGGAGGCGCGCATCCGCGGCGCGGAGGCCGAGCGCGCGGTGCTGGAGGCCAAGCTGGCGCGGGCCGAGGAGCGGCACGCGGCCGAGGTCGCGCGGCTGGGCGCCGAGCTGGCCGCTGCGCGTGGACCGGCCCAGGACCAGCTCCGCGCCAAGGACGCCAAGATCAATGAGCTGGTGGAGGAGCTGGGGTCCAAGGAGCTGCTGCTGGCGGAGGCGGGCGCGGCGGCCGCGGGCGCGGCCGCCGCCACCGCCGAGCTGGCCGAGCTGCGCGAGCTGCGCGCCGACGTGGAGCGCCGCGAGCGCCAGCAGGCCGAGGTGGTGGCCAGCCAGGCCAAGCGCCTGGAGGAGCTGGACCGGCTGTACCGCGACGAGAGCCTGGCGCGCAAGAAGGCGCACAACGCGCTGGAGGACGCCAAGGGCAAGATCCGGGTGTACTGTCGCGTGCGCCCGCTGCTGCCCTTCGAGCGCGAGCGCGGGCAGGAGATGGCCGTGCAGCTCCCCGACGAGCTCACCATCTCGCTGACCTACCTGGAGAAGAAGCGGGAGTACGCCTTCGACGCCGTGTTCCCGGGGGGGACGCCCCAGGAGCGCGTGTTTGAGGACACGCGCCACCTCATCCAGTCCGCGGTGGACGGCTACAACGTCTGCATCTTCGCCTACGGCCAGACAGGGTCGGGGAAGACCTTCACCATCTACGGCAACGAGGAGCTGCCAGGGCTGACCCCGCGCGGCGTCACCGAGCTCTTCGACATCATCGACCGCGACGCGGGCAAGTTCTCCTTCCGCGTCGAGGTCTCCCTCCTCGAGCTCTACTGCGACGACCTCCAGGACCTGCTGGCCGAGAACAAGGCCGGCGAGAAGCGGGTGGGTGGGTTGTGGGTGGGTGGGTGGATCGTGGGAATGAGGGTTG